GATCCGTTATCGCCAGATGATGGGGCCTGTTTAACATGTATGTTGAACTGGTATCGCCAACTGAGGGCGGGGTGTTCAAGATGATGAACCGGAATAACCAAACGAGGGTGGCGTGTTTAAGATATACGATGAGCCGTTATCGCCAATTGAGGGGAGCGTGCTCAAGATATAAGATGACCCGGAACCACCAACTGCTTAGATATATGGGATACCGGATTTGCCAAAGGAGGGGGCGTGTTTGAGATATTTGATGAAACGGAAACGCCAAAAGAAGGGGCGTGTAAGAGATATGATGAACCGGAATCGTCACGAGAATGGGCGTGTTTAAGATATATGATGAACCGGAATCGCCGAAAGAGGGGGCGTGTTAAAAATATAAGATGAGCCGTAATCGCCGAATGAGGGGGTGCAAGCCCGTGTTAAAGATATCTGGTGAATCGGAATCGCCGAATGAGGCGGCGTGTTTAAAATATGTGGTGAGCCGTTATCGCCCGATGAGGGAGCTTGTCAAAGATATATGATGACGGAATTACCAAATACGGGGCCGTGTCTAAGATATGTGGCATAATCTATGGTAGTATCTATGGTGAAACGGAGTCGTCAAATGAGAGCGCCTGCTTAAGATGTGATGAACCGCCGGTCCTCTGGCAATTGCGTTTGCAAATGGGGCGCGTTTGCGCCCCGCCCACTCCCCCCGCTTTCTTAAGCCCTGTTGGGAAGGTGCTTTATCGAACGTCGTACCATCAAGAATGCTATGTGGCCATTTGCGATTGGTCGTAGCAAGTCAAGCGAATATCTCCCATGAGACCAGGCCAGGAAAGCCATAAAGATACCCACAAAAGGCCAAAATTAGGGCCCTCCTTATGACTCTTACAGGTTCTCTACAATCCAAGCCCAGAAAACCATAAAACATACACAAAAAAAGCCATAAAACATGCACACAAAAACCTCGACCGCGAAGGCAGCCCGACACGGAGGCGCAATCTACACAAGGCAAGCGGGGATAGGCCCCGGCTCCAGCATACAGATCCAAAACACTTCCGCAGGAAGTGACGGAGGAGCCTTGCTAGTCGAGCAGGGTTTAAACATCTCCAAAGCAAAGCTGGACATTTCTGGGGCGAGTTCCGCTCAAGGTGGAGGAGTGGCCATCATAAATGGCGATTTAGACCTTCCTTCTGATGGAGTTTTGCAAATCCGCAATGCCTTTGCAGACTTAAAAGGAGGCGGGCTGTTCCTCGCCAACGGCAGTCTTTTCACGGAGGGCTTGAGTTTCAATTTGAGCGGCTGCTCGTCAAGAGACAGGGGTGGGTTGGCATATGTCGCTGGACATGGCACCTTCCAGGGCCATCTACTCATGACAAACGGTGCTGCCTACGAGGGTGGCTGTCTATACACTGAGGGCATGGTGGTTTCTTTGGGTTACGCAGAGCTGCATCGGTGCACGGCTGTAGGTACAGCAGGCGGAGTAGCTGCCGACGGCCTGCACTTGCAGGAAGCTAGGTTCAGCAACTGTCGTGCAGCTGCCGCCGCATCTTTCACCAGCAAGACAGCAGTGAAGGCTGGGAATATGTCCATCTACGGAGGCCTCGATGACATTCAAGGCCTGGCAGCCACAGGCCTTGAAGCAAGGAGCATTGACTGCTCACTCTCGCCAAGCTGTCGCTTTGACAGCCCCAGCTTTTCGGTCGAGCTCCTGCGTTGTTCACGCGGCGAAGGCCGCAGGGATGAGGATGTGGGAATTTCATGCGGAAGGTGCCCAGAGGGCCATGCCAGGTTGACCATTTCCAAAGCATCCTCTGCTACGTGTGCTCCTTGCCCACGCATCCCGAGCACCACCATCACCTGCGAAGCGACGAAGCTTGCGGTGCCAGATGGGGTCATGGTTGACATCAACTTATCAGCGGACACCAACCTCTCCCAGTGGGCGCGGTGCCCGACCAGGATGGCCTGTCCTGGTGGGGAGCTGAATGCGAGTGATGGACCCGGAGAACCTGCGAAGGTGGTGGTCCCAATGTGCGCAAAAGGCTATAAGAGCCTGGGGTGCACAGAGTGCGCTGAAAACCATGCCCGCGGGGACGCCAATGTCCTCCAGTGCGTGGAATGCGCCACATGGTCAGCGGCACCCCGGGAGGTGGTGCAGTACCTGTTGCGCTACCTTGGCAAGAACTTCTTTTTCTTCTCAATAGCAGTGGCAAGCGTGACATCAGCGAAAAGCACGCGTGCAGCCAGCTCTACGGTGCTGAATCAGTTGATGGCTTTTGCAGCAGTTGCAGGCACTGCCATGTCCGCTGCAATGCAGACCAATGCCTTTGACAACTTGCAGACCTGGGGCGGCGGCATTGCGCAGGACGTGATCGGCTATCTGTCTCTGCCGGTGGCTCTTGCACAAGGGCAAACTTCAGGCCCAAAGATGTCTGGCGAATGCTTGTTGCCTTTGCTGACGGGTGATGGCAGCTTCAAGACTGTTCACCACACGCATCTCGTAATGTATGCATGGCCGGCCTTGCTTGTGGCTGGGCTTGCTGTGATGAAGGGCTCAAAGCTGGCCATGGTCGTAGGCACGAACGTCTTCCTTCCCGGCTTCACCGCCCATTTCGGGAAGTACTTGGTTGCGTTCCGCCTTCGACCTGAAGATCCACATGACAAGCTTGCAGAGCTCCAGTGGGCTTTTCTTCCTCCGGGGCCTCCCAAGGGGGTGGCTATTGCCCTGGTCCTGGCGAGCATCGCGGGATGCTTTTTGCTGGGGGTGGGGAGCTGGGTGCACTTGGTGCAGTCCCGCACGGAGCCATTGGAGAGCCATGTGGCATACCTCATGCAGGCCTACAAGACAGAGTGCTCGGTGTGGGAGGTGGAACGCCTTGTGCGTAAGATGCTTCTAGCTCTGATTGTGACCATGTGTCCAGTCACCTACTCCCCTGCCGCCCAAATGGAGCTGGTAACCTTGATCTTGATCGGTTCCTTGGTGCTCTATGCCTGGTACCGGCCCTACCAGGAAGATGGGGACAACACTACAGAGATGGGCTTGCTGGTGGTAGCCGTGGTGATCATGGGATTGACAACGTTCCTCCTGGCCGGCGACCTCCACTGGGCGAAGTCTACAGAAGTCTCGAACATGCTGCTCTTTGTGATTTCCGGTCTGGCTGCCGGTGTTTGCTCTGTTTGGCTGGCACGCTTTGGAATCGCCTTCAACGCGGAGCGCACAGCTCAAAAGACGATGCTGGGGGCCGATGCCGTTCGATGAGATGGCGTGGCGACCAGCAGCGTGGTCCAGCAAGACACAATGGCAGAATGCCGTCTGCATATGTCTGCATTTGCAAGAAAAGGCGGCCTGCTTGTGAATCCTTGTGGGCTGCTGCACTCTGATTTGTTGCTGTGTTAACGCCTTACCCCATTCTTTAGCCAAGGGATGTTGGGGTAGCAAGCTCGCACGTCGTGAAGCCGTGCCTGCCTCGCACGAGTGTGCGAGTCGAAACCCTCCAGCGCTGCAAGGGCCATGGCGCCCGCTTCGATTGGGTACCACTGGAAGTGTGGACCAAGGAGGTCCGGAATTCCGGCCGGCCGGGCTCCCAGCTCTTCCCCAATGAAAGGGAGCAGTAGGTTTAGGAGGGTTTGAGGACTTGTTGATAGGTTTTTGGGTTTCTGGACCGAGGCCGGACAGTTCCTTTGACATCCTCTCTCTGGGCGTGCTGCGCTTGAAGATCCTACGTGGCCGAGCCTGGACACAGGACGCGAATCCTCCGCTCAATGCAGACAGCTAGGCAGAGATGGCAGAAGGCGGTTCGCTTGTCTCTCGGAGGACGTCGTGAACAGCCGCGACATGTCCGAAAAGCTCGTATCAATTACCGCCGACATCAAAGAGCCGCAGCTCAGCTTGGGTCTTTGCTGGCAGAGATCGCCCACGGCCCCAATGACGCCCCTCCGGACGGCCAGCAGCTGCCTCAATGCCACTGAATGTCAAATCTAAGCATGGGCATTTTCAGTGCTCTCCGAGGATGTCCATGCAGGTGCCGGCAGCGTGCCGATCTGAGCGATGTCTGCGCCGTGTCCGTTGAGAACTTAAGAACCTGTGGCGCCCGGCGAGACGCAGGCAGATGCAGAACTCTCAGAACACGGAGCAGAGGCAAGCTGAACTGGGAAGAGGAGGTGCTTTTCGTGGCTTTATGGCGCGCGATAGCAGGCACGTCACACCACCAACACCACCTGGCCGGCGGAAGTCGCCACGCCAGGTGAGGAGAGAAGGGTTTCACACAGATTCTCCAGCAGGTCTGTGTACTCCTGGCTCTTATGACTCTAATGATGCTTTCACACACGTAGGCCCCAGACGGACTCTGTTTCATCAGCGAGTCTCGTGCACAGGACCGGCAAGCGCCCCGTGGAGATCGCAGGCGCATTTGGAAGGATGATACTGTATAACCTTGGCAGTCTTGGCAAGATAAACGTTGTGCGTCAATTACAGGGCCATGTGCTTTCGTGCACCCGCACACCCACACACCCACAGTGGCCACAACAGCAGCAGGTACAACTCGACTAGTGGCCAGTGGCAGTTTGAACAACAACCCAAGATTACATGCCTTTCCCCACAACCAGCAAGCCCGCTGCCTGAATTCCTGTGCTGTCGGCTCCGCGTGGTAGTACCTCCCTTGGGCCTACTTGCAGGTTGAGGCGGGCCTTCGATTGATGCGCACTGAAGAGCGGATCGAGGGTTTTCATAATTTTGGCATCTTAGGTTTGGGGACCCGGGCCTTTGGGCTGAGGAGGCCTTCGACACTCTGAGGGGTTTGATCGGCGCCTGAGCCTTGGGGTTTGGGCTTCGGCGTCCGATTGATTGAAGTTTGAAGCTTCAGAGCTGTACTGATGGCTTTTCCAGTATGGCATGGATCCAAGATTCCAAGAGCTGTTCAATTTGAAAGCCTGCAGAATTAGTGTGCTCAGGGACCGAGCGCTGCCCGATGTATACTATACTTTAACCCAAATGCAAACATACAGCCGCCCTGGAGGCGATGAATTGGCCGCCGCTGACCCCCGAGTGCTCCCAGGCGGTTGCAGACGTCCTGAAGGATGTTGCGGCTTGGCACAGAGCGAAAGCTGAGAGACAAATCTGAGTTCAAAGAGGCCCTTAAAAATTAGGGGTACCTTAGGGTTCCTTTAAAGGGTTTCTATAAGGGTACCACTTAAAGGGCTCTACAAGGGTTAGAGTTTCCGAAAATTAGGGGGGGGGGAGCAAGTTTCAAGGTTGATGGTTCTGAGACTGAAGACCGGAGGAGGATACCGATGCCATCTTCGAGGCCGCTGATGATCTTTCTTATGATGATGAGTGAGGAGATGCAGGTGAAGATGCTTGTGAAGATGGTCTGCAAGACGATTTGGAATATTGCTCCTTCAGAGAGCCAGGAATTACTGTCACAACTGAACGTCCCAATCATGTCTCGAGTGACCACCAACACCACCACCAATCCGGCTCCTTACGCGCTAATCCTCCAGTACTGCGACTCCTGCTACTCTTCGTGCTGCTACTGTTGCCATCAATTACTGCAGCTGCTTGTTTTGCCGACGTTTTTTTGCAACGACGATGGCCTCCAGGGCAACCGCGCTTAAACATGACCATTGCCATTGCAGAGAACCGAGGTCTTGGTAAAAACCATGTGCATGATATTGCATGATCACAATCCCAATCGTAGTCGTAATCAGAACTGCCATCTCCAACACCTATCCGTATGGGGCAGGTACGTGGGCTGACTTGCAGAAACCTAGGCGGACACGGGATGCGACTGAACCTGTTCTCGTTGCTACAGGGTATTGGTGCCAAGCAAGCAGCTGGCCGAAGCGAAGAATCCGTGGAAGACAGGAGCAGTCCAGTTGCTCGTGCCCCGGAACCCCCCCATACTATACTACTTATGTCGATGTGTTTAGGCCTCGGTGCATTCGTATTCACCAAATCATGCTCCCTCGCTTGATCGTCGTGTCTGCAGTGTCGGCTTGAGCCTCGCGCTCGTTGTTTCATTGCCGGCTTGAAGCCCCCTTAACAAGGACCACTTGGTATATACCCTCAATATAGCTATTGTATATACCCCTTAGATAGCCCATTATAGGGTAGGGGTCCCCATTAAGGGTCCCTCCGTGTCCCCTTTGTAAGAAGTCTCAGAGCCGGAAAGCTTCACATGGTTTCGGACCCCTGCCCCAAAAGCCCACACCTCCTGTTGATGGTATAAATCCTGCATTATCTAGAGGACACTAAACTATGGGAACTATAATATATTCCCTATTATGAGTAATGCAGGATGTATATCATCAACCGTCGGACCTCGATACCCAGGCGCAGCAGCGGCCGAAGGACCTTGGGATTGGGCACGGCACTCCGGGCTGGCAGTTTCCAACTGCTGGTTCGGGTGGGCGCTTTTGCGTCCGGCCTTTGTTGGATCCCTCACCTCAACAGCCTTAAACTGGTGATAGACACTGCAGTAGTCATCGCAATGCTCATCGCTGGTATCAAAACGCAGAAGCGGGCCTGCTGAGCATCATTAGTACGAATGCTCAAGTTCCTTGACAAGTTGTTGACTTCTTCGTTAGTATTTTCTGCTGTCTTATCGTCCGTTCTTGTGACTGGTATTCAGCTCATGCTTGTTCATAGAAAGCATGACGATGGAGGACCTCTTCGGCTTCGTCATAGCAGAGTTCCAGAAGAAGAGCACGCTGGATCCGAGTGAATTCGAAGCCCACTTCTTGGAATGCCCCTTGCTGGTAACTGTGGCCTTACCTCGCAACTAGCCCTAAACCCTGGACCCCTGATGCCCTGAAAGGGCTTGTCGGGTCCAAGGTGGAAGACTCTTCGCTACGGTTGTCGAAAGCACTGATTCTAAGCACCGTGAAACCGTATCGGATCACACACCCCTTATGCCTTAATCCCTACATCAGGCAAGCGGCAGTCTCGCACCTACGTGCTGGAAGACCGGTGTCCTGCCAACGAGGATCCCATGGTCTGGGTTCCCATGCGCCCGGGGCCCCAGGACTTTCAGGGTTTGGGATTCGGGGATTCGGGGTGCTTGGAGGGATGGGGGTTTATGGAGTTTGGGGTCTAGGGCTCCGTGCATTGCTGCATCCCTGCCGTTTTCGATGCCTAGACTTAGACCCCTCAAGCCCTAGGCCTAGGCCCTCAAACCCTAAACCTTAAACCCTAAACTCCTAAAGCCTAGACCCTAAACCCTTAACACCCCCAAAACCCTAAACCCTAAGCACCCCAAGCACCCGTAAACACCCTACGCCCTGAAAGCTCAGAGGCTACAACGATGACACCATCCTGAAACAGCAGAAGCTGGCCCACGAGCTCTGGATGGACGTCCTCTCTGTCGAGGCATCCGGAGCCCGGGAGCAGATCTTGGCGTTAAGCTGCAGGGTTTAGGGGTTTACGGGTTGATATTAGGGGCTCAGAGGCTTAGGGGCTTAGGGGTAAACGCTGTTTGGGGGTTTACGGGGTTACGGGGTTTAGGCAGTTACAGTACGGGGCTTTGGGCGTTTTGGAGGGTTTTCTGGGTTTGGGCTCCGCGGTCTCGATTCTTGAGGTTTGTGAAGTCTTCGGTTTCCTGGTGTGGTGTCTGGGACCAGTGCTTTTCCGTGCTTCGCCTTGATGTTCTTGGGTTGTTGTGAGCGTACAAGAAGGATGCCAGACGGGTTGCTACGAGGGATCCTTTAAGGGTTCTTGCGAGGGACCGCTGGAGGGTTGCTACAGGGGATCCTTGAAGGGTTGCTATGAGGCTCAGCCCCAGTATTAATATTGATATTCTTCCTCATTGGTAATATTGATAGTTCAATAGTAATAATGGTCTTAATATTGATATTACTATTCATGTACATATTGATATTCATGTACATATCCAAATATGAATTTTCATATCCATGTTCATATTATATAATATTATTATGATTGTTGCAACCAGGCTCAGCCCTAATCTACCGGGTCAGGAGCTCCCGACCGGGAAGGAGCTCTTCGATAGGCGGGGCCCGCAGCAGAGACGTCGGTCATAGGGGTTTAGGGTTTAGGGTTCAAGGTGTCGGGTTGAGGGTTTAGTTTAGGATTCAGATAGGTGTGGGGCTTCAGGGTTTCGAGTTACTTTTCGTGTGGTATCAGATGCCATGTCGCGCACCGGATCGTCTTTAAGTTTCAGTGCTTCGTTTCGGTGCTTTCTTCCAGGTAGACGTTCGTGAAGTGTTCAGGATGTAGACCCTCCACCCAAACCTTTCCTCCTACTCAAGTCCTCAACCCTAAACTTCAAATCCAAAAGCAGCGATCCCGCTGGCCCTGAAATCGACCAGCTCAAAACCTGAACCCAAAGACAGCCCTAGACTACCAATATTATTCCTAGGGTTTCTTATTGTAGCTATACTACCATGTACCCAAAACCCCATTCTGATTACTCAGACCCCGATATTACAGTATGTAAGACCCCGCCCAACGCCAACTCCAGGCCCACCACGTCTCTTCCCACTTGGAGGATCATGGGACTTAGTAAGTAGGGTTATAAGTACCCTAATTGGGGCTATAAGTAATTATAAGTATAGTTACCCTAATTATAACCCTAGTTCCTAAGTCCCATGACCCTTTAAGCACAGGCATCCCGAAGGCTCCGGCAAAAGCGGAACTCCCGAAACCAGCCAAAACTCCCAAGTCGGAGCCGTAAACGGCAGGGCCCGAAATCCTCAACTCGCGAATTTCACCCCCCCAAATCTGAAACCGTTAGGGCTTCAATTGTAGTTCGAGACTTCGAACTCTGTAAAGCCTAGTAGAATCCTACAACAAGAAACCCTCAGCAACAGCACCCTTGCCCTCACAACTCAAGCGGAAATTCAGGGCTCTCGTCGCTTACCCTGAGCTGAACTACTTGCGGGACTCCCCGGCCGAGGTAGCGCCGTCCTAGACTCTGGTCTGCCAGGTTCCGGAGTTCAGTGGCAGTGGCAGTGGCAGTAGTAGGTAGTAGTGGCAGTAGTAGTGGCAGTGGCAGTAGTAGTAGTCGTAGTCGTCGTGGTCGCTGGTGGTGGGGGTGGTGGTGGTAGCGGTAGGATCAGGAGCAGGAGTATCAGTACCAGCAGCAGCAGCAGCAGTGGTGGTAGTGGTAGTGGCAGAGGTAGAGGTAGGAGTAGGAGTAGAAGTCGGACTACGACCAGGAGTAGCGGTAGCAGCAGCAGCAGCAGCAGCAGCAGCAGCAGCAGCAGCAGCGGTTGTTGTAATATTAGTAGTAGGTCGTCGTCGTCGTAGTAGTAGTAGTAGTAGGAGTAGGAGTAGGAGTAGTAGGAGTAGTACGGTTGATGATATAAATCCTGCTTTACCTTAATGACCCTAAACTATGGGAATGATGGTATATTCCTTACTGTGGGTAATGCAGGACATTTATCATCAACAGTAGTAGCGGTAGCAGTAGCAGTAGTGGTAGGGGTAGCGGTAGGGGTAGTGGTAGAAGCGGCAATAGAAGTGACAGATGGATAGTTAAGACAGCTAAAGATATGTAGACGGAAAACAGCCTGACTTGCCAGGCCACAGCGGCACAGGTGGTCCGCGGACTCTGCCTTTGTTGCAGCGGCTGCCCTACCGCCCTAGAGAAAAGCCTGGAGGCCGTGGCCCAGTCCGCGGAAACTTCGGGTTCTTCATGCCTCTTCCGGGGATGCACCAAGAAAGGGACACAGGTGTAGTGTAGATTGTAGAAATTCGTAAGTTCAGGCCATGCAACTAAGCACTACAAAACCTGAGCAGCACATGACAGGCATACATAAGAAGTACATGTGTTTGCATGCGCATACATACACACATGCATACGTATATGTGTGTAAACATATATGTATATATATATATGTACATGTATATGTATATGTATGTGTACGTGTGTGTATATGTATCTGTATATGTGTATGTAGATGTGATGTAGATGTGATGTAGATGTACATGTAGATGTAGATGTGTATGTGTATGTGCATGCAGGTTTATGTATTTCTGTATGCGTATGTGTATATGCACATGTACAGGTACAGGTACAGGTGCAAGTACATGTTCAGGTACATGTACACGTATATGTGTAGGCATATGTATATACATGTGTATCTGTATGTATATGCATATGTTTTATATCCTGTATACATGCATACAGCATGCGTGTACAAAAAGTGTGTGTGTATATACATATATAATACACACACGCACATACACACATAGATTGAGGCCGGTTGTGCAGATTACCAGAAAGCTCGAATGCCAGACGCAGCCACCTTGCTCGTGCAAGGGCCCTGCTTCAAGGAATGCGGATACTAGTAGTTCCTTGTCAAGGTGGAGGGTTGAGGCCTGTGATGCAGAACTTGAGTCATCGAGCCGGAAGCCCCGGAGCACACACAAGCGTTGATGAAAGGCTTCATTTGAGGATGTCTGGCCACGAATGTACGCCCTTAGAAGCTTGATTCCGCAAGTCTGCATGAGGATCTGCATTTTCAATTAGACGTTTTTGGCCCAGAGAGCCTAAACCTCCGGCAGACCCGATTCTGAGATGAGAGTCGCGGTGCCAGGATGACAGCAATGCTCTGACCTTCTGGTGCAAGGGCTTACTCATGGGCACCAAGACCTCGTTGCTCGGTGGACGATGGAGAATCCCCAGAGGCAGGCCAAGAGGCTCTTGACTTCAAGTTAGCTGCATCAAGAGCAGTACGGCGACTGTCACTCGTACGATGCTCCTAGTTCGGACTCCCTTTGCTGAAACTGATACTAATGTAGTAGTGTTGTTGCTCTTGTAAAAGCCCTGGACCCCAAACCGGTAGGGAATCGAGACGCTGAGTACCCAGGCTCCTGGAGCCACTGGCCCTGTCTCAGGAGGCTCGCGGCAGTAACAATAGGTTGTTGTGATCTGAATTTGGGGTTTGCGATTTGGGATTTAGGCAGAGGCCACTAAACCCCGAGCCATGAACTCTGCACCTGAAACTCTAACAGCTGCAGAGGACCCGTCGGCCAAAATCGAGGGCATCGAGGGGATCCTCCTCTTCGTGGCCGCAGGGCTTGATAGTTTCCGGAGCCCTAAACACGAAGCCCCAAACAGAGCTAGCAGTGACTGGTTTGTTTTGGCTGCATCTGCTAGCGCAGCAATGGCAACAACAACAACAACCGACAGCTATAGCAGCAGAGAAGAAGGCACGACACTGGCTCCAAAACACTATCCGTATCATCAACATAAGCACCAGCATCAGCAGCTGTCCGCACCACGACCGCGGCATCGGCAGCAGCAACAGCAGGAGAAGGAGCGAGAGGACACACCATCAGCTGCTTCACCATTTCCGCCGAGAAGAAATAGCAAAGCAACGCCAACCGTTACCGCCACCAAACGCAGCAGTTCATTGTTCCAGGCCTGGACAAAACTTGCGACCAGTGGGTGTTGAGCACCATCTCCGAGCCAACACCCTGAATTCCCGACCTGCTTCACAGAGCCCGATGCCCGAATATCTAAGAACTTGAAGCTTTCAGCCGTCCCAAACCACTCAGCCTCCTTGAGCCCCAAGGCTAAACCCCCTAAACCCTAAACCCTAAACGCCAAAGCCAAAGCCTGAACCGAGGTCCTTCGGCTCTTAGGTGGACACGAGGCCTTCTGCCGGTACTACGGCCTTTCACCGGAGGCGCGGGGAGATATCAGACGATCTAAAGGCTAAGGGTTTTTTGGCTTTTTGGGCTGAGGTCTTAGGGCGCAGTTCAGGCGCTTGGGTTTTGCTTTGGAGTAGGGCTCAGGATCTAGTTCAGGGTTACCGGTTTTGGATTTCGTGCGCGCGGCAACTCAACAGTCATGCCCATCGTATGAACATGGTGATCGCAATGAGGGTCACAGTCTATCAGTGTGTCCGCTAGCGAAGCAGCCACAGCTTGGTCTTCGCAGCAGCCAGCATCAGGGTGACCTAGCCAAGCAATCTCACAAGCGCGTCACAAACAAGAAACGTGGGCCGAATAGTGGTCACCTTTGATTCGTGAGAACCATGAAAAGCAAGTCTTGCAGTACGCATGCAGATAGTCATTCATAATAGTCCCGGTCATGAGAATTGCTGTGTGTGCTAGCCACGGTAATTTCCCGTCCGACTGCAATCATCACCATCACTATCATCGTCATGGTGATCACGTAGCAAGCGATGTCAATAGGTGCCGCTGCCGTTGTCGCGCATGTCTACGTGCAGCAGCACTGAGAGCATACCATCCAAGCCTCCAAACCCAAGCCAACAGCGAGCGCACTGCGGCAAAAAGGCCATGGATTCTGCCGAAGCCGCATCTGGCATGTCCAAGCGGAAGCTGAACATCCTCATTCTAGAACCCCGAAACCATCTGCTTGTGCAACACTGGGCAAGAACACTCGAGCCCAAGTCGTAAACTTCGTAAACCCTCCCGGCTACCTGTGCGGCAAAGGATCCGTCGGCGGCGGCCGTTGCCGAAGCCCGAGCGAAAGCTAAGTGTGGGATTGTTCTTGCTTGAATAGCTATCTGGCAGTTGCAAAACCTGAGCAGAGAAGAAAGAGGATTACTGGCCGGTAACTTCCTTCACTCGTGTTCGGACTCACTGTGTTACAGGTTCCAGGGAAATAGATCTGGTTTAAGCGCAACAAAGGAGTATTCCTGTGGCACGTTCGTCGTTTCTGCTTACACAGTTCCTTTCTCGTGCTTTGCTTGCCCTCAGTTTTTGCTCTGTAGTTCTAAGACTAGAATAGGCGAAGCCTGTGTATTTGTTGTTGAAGGCAGTCGATTTGTTGACGCAACGGAAACGGAGACACTTTCACCTCGTTGGTCATTGATTCGCCTTTATTCAACTGTTTTTGTACCTTCCTGCACGGCGCCTGAAATTCTGAGTTCAGGGTGTCGGGTAGGGAATTGAAATCATTATTAGGACAAAAACAAAGGGTTTTTAGTTTAGTACTCTTACTATGCGCAATAGTTGCTGTCATGCTACAAACAGTACAGCAGTCGCTGTAACCGTCATCCTCATCCTCGTCCTCATCCTGATCCTCATCCTCGTCCTCGTCCTCGTCCTCTTCGTCGTCGTCGTCATCGTCACGTCGTCACTATCATCGTCATCATCATCGCACTCATCGTAATCAGTACGAGAAATCTTGGCAAGCATGCGGGTGCATCAGTCGGCGCTCAGGCCATCCTCACCCACGCGCCGGAAGCAGTGCCTTCCGTGCCACCTGCCTGCTTTGGTGTTGTTGTTTAGCTACTGATAGCCGTAATCGTATCACCAGCATTGCCCCTGCTAGTACTGCTACGACGACGACTACAACTGAGACTGTGACTACGACGGCGACGACTACTACCTCCACTGCTACTGCTACCGCTCCTTCTCCTCCTCCTCCTCCTCCTCCTCGCTACTACCACTACCACCACCACCTACTACTGCTGCTACTAGTGTCTCTTACTTATTCTGACTCCTACTCCTACTCCTACTCCTACTACTACTACTACTACTACTACTACTACTACTACTACTACTACTACTACTACTACTACTACTACTACTACTACTATACTACTTTTACTACAACTGATGCTGCTACTAGTACTACAATTCGCGGCTGTCGGCTTCGGTTCGCGGCTGTTGGCATCGGTTCGCGGCTTTTGGCATCGGTTCGCGGCTGTTGGCGTCGGTTCGCGGCTGTTCCAGTCGAGGTCCGCGGCTGTTGGCGTCGGTTCGCGGCTGTTCGGCTGCAGTTCGCGGCTTTGCAACAATTCGCGGCTGTAGTTTCGTGGTGGTGGTTGTGACTGCTGCCGGCTCTACCTGCAAGTTTTTTTGAGAAAACCGGGTCATGAATCGAACGTTGGGGGGCTCATTTTCTGAGGGCTCCTACGATTCATGGCTTTTCGCGCCAAATCGCGGCTGTTTCGCGCCAAATCGCGGCTGTTGCTGGGTCCGTTTTCC